TAACCTTACCTACTTCTTTTTAACTTTTTTAATGTTACCACAAGAAGATTTAAAATCACATATGTGGCTCATATTACATTTCTATTGGACACTGTTGTTCTAGAACTCTGAGGCTTTGTCAATAAGGGAACCTCTGTAAATGGAATGAGGAAGTTAAGCGTGTATGCCTGTCATCAACTGTATATTTTCCCAGGCTTCTTGCCTTTGGTTATCAAGTAATTGTTTTGAAATCACATGGGTTGGTTTGGTTTGTCATTAGCAAATTCAATTGCTACCTGAAAGGGATATCTTTTTTCTTCTCAAACTTTTTTTTTTTTCCATAATTTTGCCTTTGGATAAATTACTTAAAGAAACTCTTCTAGCCACATCAAATAGAAAAAAGACCTCATATGCCAGAATGGGTTGGAATCAGCCCATGCTCTTTTTTTTGTTTCTCATATAAAATGAAAACAAAAAACCAAAATCACCTATTTTTCCTGGTGCTGATTTGACATGACTGCTCCTAGCTCTCATTTGCAAGTGAGTTCTGAGGCCACCAGGCCAGCACCCACTGAGGACACCCGCCCTGCTGCCCTCACTGTCCCGCCCCCTCCACTCCCGCCAATGAGGAGCAGGCCTGGGAGGCAGTTCTACTTCCTGGGCAAGCTCTGGTTTGAAACTCGCCAGTGCTGTGCTTTCTCCCTTATAGTGTATGCAGCAGTGGCCTAAACGTTATCGTGTTGTCTGCAAAGTCACACTCCGTGTGAGAAAATGCTGCTGGTAATGTTTATGCAATGTGTGCAGCCTGGTATCAAATGTCTGTACTATGTTTGCTTGTACTTTATTTTCTTGGTCTTAAGCCAAAATAAACTGTCAGTAAGAAACATACCTAAAGACTGGGGTGTAGGTTGGGGAGGTGGGGAATGCTACTTGGGAGAGAAACATCTGTGTACGTTTACTTTAAGCTAAAAAGAGGCTGATGCTTCTTGCCAACTATCGACTCTTCAGGGGCACATGCTTGGGCTCTTCTACTAAGCCCACAGAAGGCTGCCCTCCAAGCCCAGGGACAAAGTGCTTCACACTGGCTTTTACAGGGAGAGAGGAATAGTTATAACCCTTTAGTAACCATGGGGGAGAGGTAGATGGGGTGGGTGAGGAAAGAAAAGCAAACATCACTGAATCTCTCCCTCCTGAGATTTTTATATTGGAAAGCAAAATAGATTCAGTGCCACTGGCTTTGGTTTTTGCCAGCTAATTCATTCACGCAGAAGCCCAGGGCACAGAGCACATGGCGCCTGCATTGCCTCAAAAGAAGAGCCAGCGGCAGAAGCAAAATGGTCTGCAGGCCCCACCTCTCCCCTCCCTAGAGATCTTGGGGGCTCAGCAGCCTCGGAGAAACACCAGCCCAGGACTGGGCTGCCCTGGGCAGACCCTCCCACCCTCCAAGGCTGGTGGCTCCTGTCATGTGTCCACTCTCTTCCTTGGGCAAGCAGGGCCCAAGGATCCAGGCCCATGTTGGAGCATCACAGAGCAAGGCCAGGACAGAGGTGGGATAGGGATGTGTCAGCAGATCCTGGAACTGAGCTTCTGGGGCACTGTGAGGTGTACATGAGGCAGATGGAGGAAAGGGGCTGGGTAGGAAAGTAGAATCAGGTAGGAGGGAATAGGACTAAGTGTAGGGTCCCCAGACTTCAGCAAGAGGGCTTGGACTGGAGAGGGGCGGGGAAACCAGCTCAGAAGCCCTGAGCCCCTGTGGCTTGGCTACTGTTGCTTCTTCTCTGGAGGCTCCAGTCCGAGCCTGAGTGGGAGGAAGATGGCGAAGGGCTGACATTCAGGTCTTGCCGCAGCCACCTTGCTTATGGTTGTCAGGCTGATAACTACACGCTGGGATCCTTAGGCACTCAGTCACAAAATAAAATTGTAAACAAAAATGTAAACTACTTTGCACAAAGAATTATGTTCATTAGAGGACCAAAGGGTTATTTTAAATTTTTCCCATTTAAAAAATTGTTTTAGGGCCGGCCCAGTGGCTTAGCAGTTAAGTGCGCGCGCTCCGCTACTGGCGGCCCCGGTTCGGGATCCCAGTCGCGCACCAACACACCGCTTCTCTGGCCATGCTGAGGCCGCATCCCACATACAGCAACTAGAAGGCTGTGCAACTATGACATACAACTATCTACTGGGGCTTTGGGGGAAAAAAAAAGGAGGATTGGCAATGGATGTTAGCTCAGAGCTAGTCTTCCTCAGCAAAAAGAGGAGGATTAGCATGGATGTTAGCTCGGCGCTGATCTTCCTCACAAAAAAAAAAATGTTAAAAAAAACAGTTGTTTTATCACTCAAGCTCTTTCTACCAAAATGAGCATAATTCTAAAAAACTTTTTTAAAAGGATAAAATATTCACTGTAATTCATCCGTTTCAACAAATCCCATTGGTTGGAGGTGGTTGTCGGTTGTCTAGATTTCTATCCCACCCTGTCCATAGGCATGTGTTATTTTTTGATCATCCTGTATATAATTATATTTCTTGATTTCTTCACATAACATGCTGGTGTAAGCATTAATCCGTATTTCTGATCATCGTATTGACTAATTTTAATGCCCTTTGAAATCAATGTGCAAGGATTTGGCTACCTCCCTCCTGCTGGATGTTTTGGAGATCTTCCCATGAATGCGATAAACGTTGTGTTTATATTTTTCCTTCTATCGGATCATTTTCTTAAAGTAAATCATTAAAAGAGAGACTAATGAACCAAAGTTCTTACGAAGTTAAAGTGACCTTTTTGTTTCTTGATGTCCATTTCCATTTTGCTTTCCAGTTAAAACTGGTAGCCATAAGTGTGAGTGTCTCAAATTCAGTGCGTTTTCCTCAGCCGGCAATGATTCTTTTCTCTAGTTTAACATTTGTAAGATGATAGCATCAATGGAATATTTTTCTTATTAGCTTTTAATTCTTATTAATATCATTCTGTTCTCATAGAGTGATGTGATTTTGCATACTTTGAAGTAAAGGCAAATGCTTTAAGTAAAAGTGTAGATTTGATTTTGTTTCACTCGGCTTTATGCATGTTAAACTCAGAGCCAGCATTTAAAAAGTGCTTGGTTTTCTGTTTCAAATACTATTTTGTATAGCAATGTCCATTTTTTCTCTGCCATATACTTTATTAAATATTTAAATTAAGTTTATTTAAGCCATCACATCCCATGAAAGAGGAAAAACACAACTTCAATAAAATGCATTCAAATAATTAAAGCCCAAGGCAAAAGCAACAGAAAAGGCAAACTGTGCCTCTGTGGTCCCTAGTAATTGGTCCACATGCTCACACATCCCCAACCAACCCCCTTTGTCTGGCCTGTCAGAGGACATTAGCTGAGACTAATCTGGAAGCCACTGCCTGGCTCCCAAAAGAACATAGTCACCAAGTAAGAAAGACTCATTTATGAGAATACAAACTCTGCCACATAAGTGAGGATTGTGCAAAGCATATTTCATGCATCATTATCTGGACCTGATTAGCAATGATGGACATCAGTCCTCAATTTTAACAATCAGCGGACAAGACCTTCAGCTTTCACTGAAGATAGACAATTGCTGTGCACATGTCTCTATTCTCGGCACAGTGAGAAAACAGAGACAAGAGCCCTTGCAAAGAGCATTTTCAAATTGTTTTGGCAGCAGTTGTCTCGTGGATGCTGTTGTCCCAGTGACGCAAATAAGGCAAGATCCGGCTCTCCTGAGCAGGCAGATTGACGTCTTCCTGGACCTCTGGGTAGCAGGGCCCACATTGTGCCTCTGGACACCAGACATGGCCAGTCCTCCCCCGGCTTAGGAGCCCATGTGACCTAGGCAGGTCTGTTAGTTGCTCGACACATAGTTTCCGATCTGTAAAAAGGCAATAACAGTGCTCGCTTCGGCAGCACATATACTAAAATTGGAATGATACAGAGAAGATTAGCATGGCCCCTGCACAAAGATGACACACAAATTCGTGAAGCATTCCATATTTAAAAAAAAAAGGCAATAACAACGCTACCTGCCTTGTAAATTGTGAGCATGATAATAAGATAATCTGTGCAAAAGAGATCTGTGCGGGGCCTGGCATGTGTAGGCTGCATGTGGCACAGAGGGAAGGCAGGGGCCTGTGCTGTTAGGTGCTGCCTCATGTTGGGTCACAGAGGAGGCCTTGGGGAGTTGCCAGGAGTGGGAGCTGTTGTTACTGTCACTGCTGATAATTTTTGCTGTCATTTTTGTCATTGTCATGCTTTTTATATTCCCTGTAAAAGAGCCCAGGAAGCTTAACTCTGCGGGTGGCATAATTGGGCCCTCCAAGCCCTTGTCCCCTCCATCATTGCCTAGCGTTCAAATTAAGCCAAAGTAAAAGTTTGGAAAAGGGCCATATTGGACCGTATGTCACCCCACTAGGGTGAGCACGATGGAAGCTGTGAGCCCGGCAACGCCTCTACATCAGAGCATGCAGCCTCCATCACCAGAGCCTTGAAGGACCTGAGGGAGACCTCCCCGTAGTGCTTAGGAACAACCTGGTTGTGCAGGAGCTAGTGGGGTGACAGGGACTAGCCCCTGGCCACTATGTGCATTTGCAAACTTGGCATCCAGATGGCCTAACTCCTTGTTACTATCCAGAGGCAGGTGCCATGTGCAAATGAATGCTTTATTACAGCAGATATGCAAGCAAATCCTGTTTGCATGTCAGCTTGTCTTCATGCAGCGGCATGAGGATGCTCATTAAAGCTTGGACTTCAGACTGCAGAATGAAGGGAGCTGTGTCTGGTTTGGGTTTTGCTGACCCTTTGGGGCCACACACACCACACACACCACACACATATGCACACACACATACTCCATCTATATCTCAGTAGCTCCAGGGATGATGGTGATCCAATAAGTATGGAACTACATGACTTTGAATATGAATTGTACCTTTCTCAGATATTTCTAGAAAGGAATAAATTAAGTTAATAATAAGAGGTATGAATGTTCTTCCTTTCTCTTTGGTCTTCCCTAGAACTGAAAAAGCGGTTATAGCCTCAAATAATGATGAAGACCTATTTGTTACTGGACAGTTCCAGAAAACCCTTGCAGAGCTTGATGAAGATCTGGAAGGTAAGAAGTACTCTCCCTACTACTTTGACATTACACCGTGTGGCAGGAGACTCTGAAAGATATTTTTGTCTGACCACACTGTGTAACTATGAGGAAGAGGTCTGCAGGAGGATCGCAGTTTGAAGAAAGCCTGGATCAGAGGGGCGCGTATGCGGGGAGCTCGGCTCCCGTGGACTGCCTTTCATCGGGGCTGCCGTGCAGTGCTATGGAAAAGTCTCAACAGCTGCTTAAAACCTGCTTTGAATAATACTCATTTTTCACATTACCAAGTAGTAACAAAATAAAAATTCTGCAGTACCCAAATGAGGTAGAGAAAGACTGGGTGACACACAGATAAACAAGTTTCTTTACTGAGACTTGCAGCCCTTTGCTTGCCGACATGTGACATGTCTCTGGAAGGGCAGAACGTTGTGTTGTGGAGCATCCCCTGGACTGCTCTTCTGTGGATGTATCTGAGGAAGTACTACTGTAAGGCCAAAGCAGACGCACATCATCTCAATAGACAAGCAGGGAATCTTTCCAACAAAGGCACACGGTGAAAATAAACTAGAAATTAGATATTGGCCGTGCCTTAAAACAAAACAGCAGGAAGGAAACAGACTACAGAGCTGATCACTAGTTTTGTCTGACTCACTTTTCAGGTTTCTGTCCTCAGGAAATGTGCCTGACAGACCTGCACAATCTAAGTCATCCATACGGTGTCCTTGGGCTCTGCCCGCGTGACCCACTACATCTTTCAGGGCTAATTCTGAGGTGCCCAGGACTTAGTTATCTGCCTCTTAGGAACTTAACGTGAGGACAGTTGCCCCATATGTTTTGTGGTGCTTCTGGTGAACAAGAACAAGATGAAGGTTGAGCTCAGATCACCTTCATGTTCTGTGCTGACTCTTTCCAGAGGGCTTGGATTTAGAGAGCTACCTTTTAAGCGAAGGATGTTGGCAAAACGTTGTACCAGAATACCTTGCCTTGAGACATCATGCGTCAGCAAGCAGCTCCTCTGTGAGTCATGAAAGTTGTGCCTCTGGCCCGAGGATATATAGATTACAAACTGAAATGACATTTAAAGTGTATGTAAGTAACTTACACAAAAGTAACCTCAGGGGAATCAAAGTCCTGGTGTCCTTACACCAAGTAATTGGCGTGGGAATCGGACTAGCGGTGCCAGTCTGTGACCTGTGTTTGTACTTCTTTGCAGGAATGGAAGATAGTTATGAAACCGACACCAGCTCTCTAACCAACTCCATAAATGGTGTGTCTAGTGGCTGCAAACGAGATGCCATCATCGCTGACAGTGATGCAGACGCAATCCCAGTAACGTTCATAGGGGAAGTGTTAGATGATCCTGTCGATGCGGGGTTGTTTGCCAATAGAAACAACAATGCTGGTTCTTTTGACAAGGGGAGTGTAACCAGCAGGGGAGCCCACCTGCCACCGTATCAGGCTGAGCACAGCCAGCAACATGGAAAGAAGGGGGCAGAAGTACCTGAGTCATCCGCTCCTTCCCAGGACATTGGAAAAGAAATCAAATCAGCCTGGTCCGACACCTGTAAAGATGTGAATCCAAATAAAATGGAGCCCAAGGCAACGTCTGCTTCGAAGCTTCCCACACATGACTTAAACGCAAAGGAGAGAGGCGAGGTGCATAGCTCTGCTCACAGTGGGGAGACACGGGCCATCAAGAGAGTGAATTCACAGCCAATGAAGGAAAAGGAGCGCAATGATAAAAATGATGTCTCGGCACCGCTGTCCTGGCATCAACGAGGTCAAAATGCAGGAGGAAGTTATGGACTTAAATACGGCCTCACAACATATAAAATTGTCCCTCCAAAATCAGAGATGAGGTGTTACGACAGAGGAGTATCGCTCTCAACAGGAGCCATTAAGATTGATGAGCTAGGGAATCTGGTGAATCCCCATGCCAATGGGGGCAGGACCATAGTTCTGTCATCCACGCTTGAAACAGAAAGCCAACCCATTGGAAAAGTCAAAGAATTCTGGAGGTCCAACTCTATGGAAAAACACTCTGGCCAGCCCACAGAGTGCTCGGCCAAGAGGACCCCCAGCCCCACCATGCCAGTGAAAATACCACATCAAGAAAGCAGACTCAGAGCAGAACCCACCTTTCCAGACTCCAAAGTGACATCACCCCAGCAGCAGTCTGCCCACCAAGAAGATGGGAGACGTCTAGAGGAGGGGAAGAGCCGGCCACCCTCTGCAGTCACTTGTCACATGAAAGTGCCAGCAGCTAACACCACAGATATCCCATTTCTCAAGCCTCAGAGAAGAACATCCAGTCACTATGTGGCCTCTGCCATTGCCAAGCGGATAGGGACCCCAAAAGCCCGCACCAACATGGTGAGGAAGCATGATGGTGCCCAGAAGACCCATGAAGGCAGAGCGCCAGGGCTAACTGGACAACCTCCCACTATGAAAGATGGTACCACCCCCAGCCCATACTCAGAGACACAGGTTCGTAATGATGGGCAAGAATCAGTGGAAGGAGCCCATCCCAAAGGGCAGGTCAGCAGCCCCTGTGGAAAGTTGTCTACTCAAGACTGTCCTACTGGCATCCCCAGACGTTCCTATGTTCCTCCAATCACAACTCCCCAGAGGGATCATGTTTCTGTGGGACAGAGCTGTGGCTCCAGTGGAAAACAAAGCACAAGTAACCACAGGACCAGCTCAGCATCTGACCCCAAATGCCCGTCAGACAGTACAAATCCCCTGCGTCCACGCTCAGGAGATGATCAGACTCCTGACAGGGCCCTGGTGAATGGCTCCAGATGGGTCCCCATCCACAGTGAGCCTCCTCACTCTCCGAGAGTGTCTGGCACAAATGGCCATGCTGGACGGGAGCCCCTAGAACGGGAGGAGAAGCCCAGTTTGTTATGCACAGATGTACATGAAACCGATGGTACACTGCCACCCAGCATCTTTGGCCCAAAGAAGAAATTCAGACCTGTTGTCCAGAGGCCAGCACCAAAAGACACGTCCCTGCACAGCGCCCTGATGGAAGCCATCCACTCGGCAGGAGGGAAGGACAGCCTTCGCAAGGTGATCACGGCAGGCACCTGCCTCTAGGGCATAGGCACACCTTCCACACCTGTCAGCTTAGGTGCTCGGACGTAGATTCTCCGATGGCATTGGAGGAGGGGGAGGGCAAGGATGAGAATGAGGGCGGACACTCAGGTTAATTTTTGCCAGGATTTCTGTCTCACTGCCTGTGGAGTGTCTGAATAGAACCACTGAGGAAACTAAAACTGATGGGTTTGGGCTTGTCCACACTGCCTGTAGGCCCCTGACTGCCCTGCGGAAAGAGGTCGCCAATAACTAGTCCCTTCCTACGTCTAGGGGAGTGGAGAGCAGAGGTGGGTCATCCATAACTGGGCCTTGAGCAGTGTGGTGGGTAGATGAAGAGGCAGGCCGGGCTACCCCTCCCCATATGCCTGCGTGTCTAGCAATGGCATACTGTCATTCTTCAATAACAGGGTCAATTTTATGACCCCTCATCCCCCTTATCTAGGCATTTAACACATTACGAGCATTATCTTATTTAATTGCTACACCAACACTGATGATTAGGAACTATTTCCTCCATTTTGCAGATGAGGAAACTGAGGCAGAGTGAGGTCAGGTGACCTAGCCCAAGGTCACACTAGCTGGTGGGGACCCAGGACTTTCATCCAGGTCTGCAGGACTTAAAAGCACCTATTAGCTTTGGAAAGCTGGGACCAATAACAGGAGTGATATGACATTAACAGGCAGTCATCTGATGCTGCCCCAAATACATAACCTTTGATTTTTATATCTACATTTTAACAGCTAGGGACTATAAAATTGATCCTATAGGCCTCAGCTGTTATGATGGGATTTTTTTTTTTGTGCTGCCTTACAGTTAGCATTCCTCCATCTTCTGTGTGAAATATGTTGACCCTATTAAATGTTCTAGACTGCAGAACACAGCTCAGAGGGAGGGCCAAAGAAACCATCCTACACGGAGGCAGAGAGCCAGCACTCAGCTCTGCTGGCAGCCATCCGTGGGCACAGAGGAGCCTGCAACCTGCGGAAGGTAAGAGAAGGGCATTCCATGGCAGGATGGCTTCACACGCCTGCTCCCCCAGTGACCCAGGTAGATGCTGCAAAAGCCAGGGCAACCCTCAGATTTTCTAATCAGATGCTAAGCCATCATCGGAGTGGCCAACGCAACCCCTGGGAGAGGCGTTGAGGGGTGGTGCCCAGCTCCAAGAGGCGAGGACAGCCACTGCACAGGAGAGGCGAGAGCTTCCAGAGACTCTCCCTCCACTTCCTGAACGTGTAACTCCCACCAGCACACCTAACACTGAGCACTTTCCCAAATGTCGTGGATGCCCAGCGTGGCTTCAGGACTCAGATCACTGGGCAGCTAGGAGTAAGCAGCCTCTCGCCTCTGGGAAGGAAGTTGCCGCATACTCGAGCACTGGTTTGGCACAACCTGAGGAGCCAACATGGGCTTGAGTTTAGGGGCAGGCCCCTGTCATCTGGCTTTCACAGGCCCACCTGCGTGGAGTGTGTGTCCTCCCCAACGATTCTTCAGAGTGGTGTGTGGCCTCCGGGTCTGTCCTCACCTGCCAAGACGAGTAGGAGATCTGAGAGTTCTCAGTAAGGCGCGTCTGCCAGCCCTGCTCCCTGCAGTCGGTGCTGGCCGCCGGGGGAGCAGGGGACAGTGAGCAGACACACCTCCTGGGCTTGTTGAAGGGTGACATAGTCAGCTGTGCGCAGCTCGCCCAGAGGGAGCTCTGCGGACGTGGCTGTTTAACCCTCTCGTTGCTAGGTGACGTCCTTCGCCTCGGAGGAGCTCCAGAGCGTCCGCGACGCTGCACTGTCTGCACACGGGTCGGAACCCCAGGGGCTGGAAGACCTTGGCATTCAACCCCTGCCACCCCCACCCCCTCCGGCCACCCAGGCTCCCTCCACGTCCAGGACAGCGTCCAGGTCCAGCTCAGGCCCCCTCAACAACCCAGTGGATGCCAGGCAGGCCTTGATGGATGCCATCCGCTCTGGCACGGGGGCTGCGAGATTGAGAAAGGTGACGAGGGACTGTGTGTGAGCACTCGTGCTGGGATGCCGCCTGTGGGAGGGTGAGGGGTGGCCGACAGTGCTGTGTCCCTTAGCACATTGACTCAGCTGGCTGGGGAAGTCAGCCCCCAGACCAGCTCCTGGGGGCACAGGGGAGGTCCCCACCACACCTCAAACCCCTGAGCGCATTTCCGTCCCCCACCGCTGACTCTGGTCCAGGGACAGGCTGGACAGGAGTGTGTGATGTGTCCTGTGGAGCACACGCCGCACTCAGGCCTCAGCCTGGATGGAGGCTGCCGGCATGATCTCATTCTCTCTCTTTCTTTTTGCTAGCGTAATGTTTGAAAATTATTCCCTTTGAACTCTCTTAGGCAGAGCTCACACTTTCTGGTTCTCCGCAGTTTCTATCTCTGTTTGGCCCTATGCTGGTCTGTGTGGTTATACCCTGCTTGGTCCCTGAAAGCATGGAATCTGGGCCCCCGCGAAAGGGTTCTCGAATTAAAAGGACTCTAGGGCCGGACAGCTTTTGAGATCTGTTTCAACTCCAAAGTGATTCTGTAACTGGATTGATCCTCTATTCCTGCCCATTTCTGTGGGTTGGGGAGTTATGCTAATAATAGGGAGGCTAGTGGTAGGTATTTTCTGAGAGATTATTTCCAGATCCTAAACATATGTTTTCACATGCACCTGAAGAGGTCAGTACTAAGATTATCTTCATTTTTTATACGAAGTAAACAAGGCTCAGAAAATCTGAGGAACTTGGACTCAGACGACAGGGGTCCGTTCAGGCACAGAAAGTATTGTAAGCAGGTACCCTCTCTGCTGCATGGTCTGTGGGAGAGCAGGTAGCCCACGAGACGAGGTGGGCCACTGTCACGTAGGGTTGCTGGCGCTGCTGAAAGGGCAGAGTGCTCTCCTGTTTCCCACCAGGAGCCTTTGGCAGCAGAGGAGAGGGGCGGAGGCCCACACCCCTCACAGGCAGCGTGGCTGTGAAAGCCAGTCCTCCCTGAAGCCCAGAGATGCCCAGCGGTGGTACTCTGTTCAGGATGGCCTGAACACCCACTGACTAGGAGCTCCATGGCTTTCCAAGCTCCCCGGGTGCCACTGTCACAGCTCTCTGTCAACCCCCAGAGCTTGTCCCAGTGTGAGAGCGAGGCGTCCATGGCTGTGTGCACGTGGCCCTCTGTAGGGACCCAAGATATCATGTAGCAAGGATGCTGGCCATTATCACTAAACACAGCCCCACTCAGGGTGCTGGAAAGAGAAAATAAACTCTTAACCCAATGGCAATGGAGTGGAAATTTCCCACTCTCTCCTTCCGAGGGGGTGGGGGGGGTAGTTAAAAATTACCGAGGGCTTTTGGTTTTCTTCATCCTTTTTTCATTTTTACAGAATTTATGTACTGATGAACTTAGGCACTTATATTACATAGAATGAGGGAAAAGTGAAGAAATTGGGCTGAGTGGCTAAATAAAGATCCTAGAAATTAGACCCCATGAATTCTGATGATAGTGGCTCTTTCGGTTCACCTGGAGACAGCTTCTCTCCTCCAACACGTCGCAATATCAAATGGAAAATGCCAGTTGTTCAAAGTCCTTCTTGAGGAGTGCAAAGCAGTGTAGCTGGTCATCAGCCCTAATGACCTGGTACATTTTTGAGTTTCTAAAACAGTATTTCTCTCTCTTTTTTTTTTTTTTTTTTGGCGAGGAACATTGTCCCTGAGCTAACATCTGTGCCGAGCTTCCTCTATTTTGTATGTGGGACACCGCCACAGCACAGCTTGATGAGCCACGTGTAGGTCTGTGCCCAGGATCCAAACCTGCAGACCCCAGGCCACTGAAGTGGAGGGCATGAAGTTAACCACTAGGCCACCAGGCCAGCCCCTAAAACAGTATTTCTCAAATACTAGGCATCCACAGGACATCTACATCCTGAAGCAGGCTTTTCAGGGCTTTGAGCCTATAAATCTGCAATTTTCAAGTATTTACCAAATGTCTTATTCAGGTTTGGGATAATTATCTATGTCTTTGAGCTTTTGATATATATTGAATAACACTGAATGTAATTACAGTAGTCCCCCCCTTATCCATGGGAGATACTTTCCAAGACACCCCTGTAAATGCCTGAAATCATGGATAGTACTGAACCCTAGATGTACTATTTTTTTCTCATACATACCTATGATAGAGTTTAATTTATAAATTAGGCATAGTAAGAGATTACAACAATAACTAATAATAAAACAGAATAATTATAGCAATATACTATAGTAAAAGTTGTGTGAATGGGATCTCTCTCAGAATATCTTATTGTCCTGTACTCACCCTTCTTCTTGTGGTGATGTGAGATGATACAGTGCCCACGTGACAGGATGAAGTGAGGTGAGTGATGCAGGCATTGAGATGTAGCTACTCCAAGGCTACTGTTGGCTACTACAAGGCTACGATATGTCAGAAAGAGGACCCTCTGCTGCAGGTGATCCAGGATCGTGGAGCCATGACAATGTCGATGGTTAGATGTCAGGAACAGATGATGGGGATGGTTGGGGATCCTCGATAGTTGAAGGTTTTTTTGCCAAAACTTTTTGGAAAAATATTGTAATCAGAAGTTGTTATCGCTTTCTTTTGATCTTATCAAAATGTTGCTTTAGAGATTGTAATCCTTTAGTGATCATACGGGTGACTTTAATTCTGCATTCGACCTGAGGATTGTTTCCCATGATTTTGTCTTTCAATGTCTGTGCAATTTGAAACACTTGGGCAAATTTTGGTAACGTCCACATTACTGGTTCTGCTTCAGTTTCTTCTTCTTCATCTTCATCTTCCTTTTCCTCTGTAGCTGACTCAACAAGTTCTTCCAATTTGTTAACACTTCTCGATGGCCTTCGATATGTTCCTTTACTTCTTCATCAAGCGTGTTGACAAATCCTTCTCCACCAACTTGTCTTGCTGCATGAATGGTTTCCCTAAGTTCTCCATTGGTCCCTGGGAAGCCTTTAAAATCACTTGCGACTTCACCCTGTAAGCTCTTCCAGCCGCATTTATAGTTCTGGTTTTAATTCATCCATTGCAGCTCTGATGAATGTTATTGGTCAGCGGTAGTGAATGATTTCCAGCACTGCATTATGTCCAGATTAGAGTCCGCATCAATTGCTGAGCGAATGCAGTTGAATACCAGGCAGGTGTATGTGGCCTTAACAAGCTGAATGATGCCCTGGTCAAGGGCATCCAAGGGCAACCTCACTGAAGCAGTGAAATTGTATTTGGAGGTAAAAATACAACCTCAGCATTTTCATTTTCATAGCAAACAGATTCAGGATGGCCAGGTGCATTATCTGTTATTAATAGGACTTTAAATTCCAAACCTTCCTCTCCTAAGTATTTCTTCACTTCTGGAATGAAGCATTGGTGAAACCATTCCATTAACAAGATGACTGTCTACCATGCTCTTTGATTATGTTGCCAGAAAAGGGCAGATAATTTTTGTTTTTGTTTTTGAGAGCACATGGGTTCTTTGCTCTGTACACTCTGCCTGGCTTTATTATATGCCCTGCAGCGTTGCTATGTAGTACCACAGTTAATCTGTTCTTCTATGTTTTATGCCCTGGTGGCTCCTTTGCACTTATATGATTGTAGTTTCTATTGGGCATCTTCTTCTATAGAGAAGAGCCCAGTTTCATCACAGTTGAAGACTTGCTTTGGATCTATCCTATCTCCTTAGTCAACTTCTTCAACTCTGCTGGAAATGTGGCAGCAGCTTCTTCACTGGCAGATGCAGCCTCCCCAGTAATTTTTATATTTTTCAGTCCAAACCTGTTCCTGAATCTGTGTAACCATCCCTTGCAGTAAATGGCTTGTTATCACGCGTTTCAGGGGACCCCTTACTGAAGTCTTTGTATAGGCTCAGTGCTTTCTGGCGAAATACATTGCCGTCAATCGGAACACGTTTTCAGTTCATGTCTTCCACTCAAATGTAATGCTTTTCCATCTTAACTAAGCACTTACCACACACTGCGGTCATAACTTTTGTAGTTTGAGATGTGACAGCAAAACTAGCATGAATTTCTTTTTTCCTTCTTCACATTTTCAGGGATAATATTTGTTGTTGCCATAGATCTTGGCAACCTCAGCATACAATTTTTTTTCTTTTTTTTTTTTTTTTTGTGAAGAAGATCAGCCCTGAGCTAACATCCATGCTAATCCTCCTCCTTTTTTTTTTGCTGAGGAAGACTGGCTCTGAGCTAACATCCATTGCCAATCCTCCTCTTTTTTTTTTTCTTCCCCAAAGCCCCAGTAGATAGTTGTATGTCATAGTTGCACATCCCTCTAGTTGCTGTATGTGGGACGCAGCCTCAGCATGACCGAAGTAGTGTGTCAGTGCGCAGCCAGGATCCGAACCTGGGCCGCCAGTAGCGGAGCGCGCACACCTAACTGCTAAGCCACTGGGCCGGCCCAATTTTTTTTCTTATTAAGACAAGAACTTTCATCTTTTCACTTATAGGAAGCACTTTACGGCTTCTCTTTGGTGTATCCGAATTGCCAGCATCACTACTCTTGCGCTTTGGGGCCGTTATTAAGTACAATAATGGTTATGTGAACACAAGCACTGCAATACCTTGTCAGTCGATCTGACAACTGAGAGGGCTACTAAGTGACTGATAGGCAGGTAGTGTATTCAGTGTGGATCTGCTGGACAAAGGGATGGGTCACGTCCCGAGTGGGACGGAGCAGGACGGCTCACGATTTCATCCTACTACTCAGGACGGCACACAATTTAAAACTTATGAATGGTTTATTTCTGGAATTTTCCATTTAGTGTTTTCAGACCCTAGTTGACCATGGGTAACTGAAACCACAGAAAGCGAAACTTCAGATAAGTGGAGGACTAGAGTATATAAAGGCTATGAGCACACGCCATACTTGTTTCTTATATACCTCATCTCATTGACTGATTTTTGAGTCTTTTCAAAATGGATATTAATGTCTCCACCTTGCAGGAGTCATGAGGAGC